TAAGCTCACGACGGCGACGTAAATACGTAAATAATTTGGCGGGGACATTATTGCAGTATGACACGGGTGTCCCTTGCCACAATTTACCCTAATCTGATCAACAGTGCGGCAGCGGGTAAGGGTGAGGGGGGGGGAAGTTGGCGGGTGAGGGACCAACGTCATATGAGCAGTGAGGGGACGGGCGGAAGGGATCAGGTGGCGGGAAGCGGATGGAAGCGGGCAGGTGGGCGGTTGGGAAGGAGAAGAGGGGCGTTAAGGTTGTGGGTGGTGGCAAAAAGGGGATGGTGGTTGAGGGGGAGTAAGTGGGAGCGGTCTGCGGTAAATGGCAGGTTGCGGGCAAACGGTTGGCAGCAGGCAAACGGTTGGCAGCAGGCAAACGGTTGGCGGCAGGCAAACGGTTGGCAGCAGGTAAACGGTTGGCGGCAGGCAAACGGCCAGCAGCAAGCGGAAAAACAAGGGGAGGGGCAGCAGTTGGTGATGGGTTGGCTGCGGTGGGAGTGTCCTATGTTACATAAAAAATGATAGTGTCCCAACCCATCATCAGCTTAGATATATGTTGTGCACATGATAAAACTCATAACAAGCCCTGAACCCCTCATAGAAATTTCCCTTATCCTTGTAAGTCACTCATAGCTTCCCTTGAGTGCTTTTGAGGAATCCTTGACAATATATAACCCCCCAGTTTTTCTAGGATTGTCCTCCAGTCAACAAGTCATCAAAACAAAACCCACAAAGCACTTGATTATTTTATACAACTCCAGCCAGTTGATGAAACCAATCTGAACACTAGTAGCCTTGCTCAGATTTATTTTCACTAGATATAACCATCTACAATTTCATTGTCTACATGCAATTCTGTAGGGACTTTTGCAAGTCTTGAGTAGTGCTTATGATGCATTGTTCTAGTTGTTACACAGGATGTTTAATCCCTGACGGAATTAGCAGGAAGAATCCAACATGGAATCTAGATCTTCATACCAGAAATCATAGGTTGAGAAGAGCCTGAAATTATTTCACAGATCAAGATATTATTGTTGAAATCTTTCACATCAAAACTTTTCACAAATTTTTTATATCACCACTCAGAGCAAAACCAAGTGCCTTTTTAAACACCTGGTTAGTAGCATAGAGGCTGGCATGTACAATGCACAAGATCTATCTTTGACTACATTCCCTGTAAGAGGATGTGGACTACAGGACTCAAACCTGAAAAACCTTGAATACATGCAAGGTGCTTTACCATTGAGCTAAGTCTGCACACCTGTGAGCAGGGGGTTTATCCAACCCCCCCCCCCCCCCCCAAAAAAAAAAAAAAAAGGGGGGTTGTTGGAACTTGATGCCGTGACACATCTGTGAAACCATCATCCCTATGCTCTAGTTCACTTTGTCCTTTCTTGTTTTCCATTTATCATGTTTCATCCGGAACATCTCTTCCTTCTTATCTTCAACTCTCCAATCTCAACACTTCTCCTACTCAACTTCTGACTTGCCTCTGTCAACTCAGCTTCTCAACAACAACTCAACTCTCAGACTTGACTCCTTTGAATCTGTTCAATAACTCAACTCTACACAGCGTCCTCTTTCCCATTGGTGAGAAGACAACTGTCAACAACTCAACAGTCCATCAAACTGATCTTCTTTCTCTCTCTCTCATAGTCCTGTGCCCTTTCACTATCCCCTGTCCTGCTTCTCTCAGTCGTCATTTTCTTGATATCCTCCATACTTCAATGGTGATTCTTTTCTCATGATTCTTGTTGCATTCCTTTCTCTTACCCTTCTTCATGTTCTGTTTTCTGACTCAATTCTTCTTCATTTTGGTTCTGGTTCTATCTCTGCAATTCATAGGTTATTCAAAGGTTGCTGGGCCAATTTTTATAGACAATTTCCAGATGGAAAACAAGTAATTCTGGACTCTACAGCAGCCATAGATTCCAAGAATATCTCATGCATGTTTTCAACCATTCCTTTTTTTTCAGGGGGAGGGGAGAATTTGGAAAAAGTATAGACAGTAGGTATGTTTGAATGAGATGTTATCAGCAGTGCAGAAAATGATGTGATTCTGCAAAGAAATTCACTTCTTCCTAGCAGTGATTATTGAACATATATAACATCCAACATGTTCATCCAAGATGATAAGAAGCAGCTTATGAAAAAGGAACACAAGTCAGTATTGGAAAACCAGATGACATTGTGGAGCCTTTATAGGGGAGGTGGTAGCTGCGGTTCTCAGCAGTAGCTGCCGCTGATGACATGGTACACGCAGAAAACTGAGGTGGACCAAAGTAAAAAAAGGAAAGTGTCTTCAGTGCTTTTGTTTGGCTGAGCGGATTACCTTTTGCTTTTGTCAGCCAGAATAAGCAAACTTCCGTTGGGGGCGTAGAAAGTGCGGGCAGGGAATAAGTGGGGGGGTTTGGTTTTGGGGGCTCGAGCGGGCATTGGAGGAGGATCGGGCAAACGAGAGTTGTTCCGGAGGGCGCTGCAGGGGGCAAGACGGGCCGGCAGAGCGCCAGGGGGTCCGGAGGTTGCGCAGCGGGGGGCCTGAGGGACGAGGCGGACGCAGGGGTGGTGCTACAGGGAGTGGAAATTGGTGGGGATTTGGGGGTGCGGGAACTCAATGGGA